ATTCTAGACAGTTTATCAGCTAAAAAAAGTTAATTTTGGGGTAAGTTACTCTTTAAAGCCGTGTAGGATCAAATGCACTAAATCTTATTTATTGTAAAGGTGGAGTGATAATGTTTTTGGTAGGGCTGTGCGGTATATGCGGTAGATGGTAGAAACGGTATGAAGTTGGCCTATGGTAGAAACTTACCCTCTACCGTCCTATCATCAGTTACATCATCACACCTGTGTCAGCAGGGCTGTGAGTGCAGAGACACCTGAGCAGGAGTTTGAAATATAATGAAGAAATTCTAGCGTTTTGAAACACGTATAGAGAGAATAAATCCTCAAAATTTCCTCCTCCCACTGTAGAAAAGTTACGTTGTGTCACAGGATCTTTTCCTCCTCCTGCTGCACGTCACGCAGAGCGAAGCTTTAACAACTGTAGTTTTTCACACCCAATTGTCGGAGAAAAAAACTTGTTTTTTATGTATTGTTACCCACAAAGATGATTAAAAAAGACATGAATGTTTGTTCAGTCATAAATCCATCTTGCACATGTAAAGTCAGCTCTGATGATGAAGATGATGAAGATGAGCGCGCAGCAGAGCAGCAGCTGATAAGTTCAGCAGGCAGAAGCTCATTGCATGGCAGGAAGACATTAAAGCAAAAATGCTGGTTTTGATTAAGATTACAGTTTTCTGCAAAAGGAAAATAACAATAAAAGCTCTAAAAATTATATTATCTTTACTTTTTATGATAATTAATGATAGATATTTTTTAACTTAATAATTTTATATATTTGATCCTATTGCATTAATCAAGTGTATTAAATATGTCTTTCTTGCTGCCATAATTTTCATCTCTGCAGCTTTGAGCTGCACTAACTGGTAAGAAGCAACCCTGTGATTGGTCGAGATGTTTTTCTCTGTGCTCTGTTAGTAAAAAAATTGTTCAGCTTTCCCCAGCCAAGGTCAGAACTTTCTGCTGAGACCTGTTTTAAGCATCCTCAGAAACTTCTCAGTCTTTGCAAAGAGAAAACTGTTTTAAACTGAATGGTYMTGTCTGTGTCTGKTTCATTTCTTTTTAAGGTGTAATTTAATGTCCAATCTGACAATTTTCTACTGCGATACCGTTACCGTGAAGGGGTTCAATTCATACCGTGATATGAATTTGAGGTCATACCGCCCAGCCTATCATCATGTGAATAAATGAAGTATTACAAAGATCTGTTACCTTTGAAACAGTTTATTTAATTTTTACATAATCATAAATACAACATACAGAACCCTATGTAATAAAGTAGTGAAAATAAAACAATATCAGAACTAAAAATAACACATTAAGCCTCCTATTTAACACAAATTTTGACATCTCTGATTTTTCAAAAATTTTAAAACTATATTTTCACTTTCATAGTTTTTTCTTCAACTGCTTATAGCTTTAACTGTCTTGGGTGTTCATTGAAATTGTTTTTACCAGTTTCTAGCCAAGATYCTGACGTTTCTGTAGATACCAAAACATGCCAATGTTTAAGTAAAATAACCTATAGTAATTAAAGTAGAAAACTGGGGGCTTAGGTTTAGGAGATGAATGGACCAATTGGCGGGCCGAGCTTTGGTCACTCGMGGGCCGGATGTGGCCCGCGGRCCGCCARTTGAATAGCCCTGTCATWGGTTCTTACTGAAGGGTGCTGGTATTAAGCTTGTATTTTCACCTTCTGATTCTCAACATTATATTTGTATTCATATTTTCTTTTTATATAAGTAAATGTTAGGTTCATTAGTAACTCTAAATTGTTCCTGTGTGTGAGTGAGAGTGTGAATAATTTTTTGTCTCTGTGTCCCTGTGATGACATTAAYGCCATTATCAGCCCAGCTGAGTTCTGTTCCACGTCTCTCTTCTGCCAGCTTAATTTCTGACTGCTCACATCTGAGCRGGAAGTGATTTATGAATGACCAGAGAGAGGATAAAGGCAGTCTGATGTGTGCAGCAATTTCGTGGAAAGGTCTTCTGAAAGAGCCTAACGGCAGCAGGAGGTAAAAAGAAAATGCAGGTAAAGTAAATGAATGGATGGATGGATAAATCAAAATAAAAAAAGAAGTACCAACAAAACATTCCAATGCTGAATTTTCAGTCGCACTTTAACTTAAAAAACAACAATGATAATTTAATTTGACTATTTGTTTAGAATTAAGTTTGAAACTGGAGCTGGGCAAAAAAAAGTGCAATTGCAATATTATTGGTGAATATTAGGCATGACAAAGAACACATTTATCTCACACCTCTTTAACAGTTCGATATTATAGTGCTCACAACGCTCTTTTTTATGGTTTAACCTCTCATTCACTAACATTTAAACAGTATGAACATCCAGGGAAGTGAGAGAACACTAAACTGGTCAGATGTATTACTGACGCAGAACACAAATACTTGACACATAAAACCTGTGATTTTTTTGCAGTCCGTGTAGTTTTTGATATTGATTTTGAACACATCAGTATCACGACTGCAATAAATATTTGATATACCGAGTTTAGAACAAAGTTCTATCCATAGAATATCTTGGAATAAAAATGGTAAAACWACGAAAGGCATGAATTCTGCATCAACTGTTTTATACCCCTGGGCGTGTGAAGGTTGAAAAACCAACATTTTGAAAAGCACCACCAGGTCCATTCCTGAAAGAATTCTGTAAAATCTACAAGTCGACTTGTGCCTTAACCTTTATTTTAGGGTTCAATAATTAAACAGTTTAGGAGGGGTATTAGCTTGCAACCTATTTAAACGCTGCACTAATGATTCTCCCACAATAAGCGTTGACCTTCAGTACCAAAACYTGGACATTTGTCAAACTGTGTGCAGCAACATGATGTTTTACCTCTACGGGAAACCTTCTGCCATTGATGCTGTGTTCTGAGCCTGCTGATCCATTAGTCTGGCCCCAGTGAAACTCCATCTTCTCGGCCTTAAAGCGTCCTGGCAGTCCAGCACCTCTTACAAAGTAGTCATCTTTCAGAAGCACAGCAACTGGGGGCAAAGAGGGTCAGAAAAATTAATCAGAGATGGAAATTTAAGCACGGCAGCCTAAAAGGCATCGTTTTAAACAATAAAGAAATCAGTTTTTCTATTACTCAGCGGTACAGCTATTGATTTTTGTGTAATAAGCTTGTTTTTTTTTATTCCAAATGATCCATTTAAGTTCTGATCTTGAGATGACATTTTTTTAAATCTTAAAAAGACAATCAAAAYGCTGTTTTTATGCATAATAAAAGGAAAATCTATGCAGTTATGGTAAGAGTCAATCTGTTTTTAGTTGCTAAGCCCCAATGACATTCCAAGAATAAACGGTACAACAAGCTATCAAATTTCAGATCATCCRAACGATGGAGGATCTTTAAGACCTGTGCAGAGAAATTGCTAAATGCAACATCAGTGCTGTGTGAACCTCCACAAAGATCCTTGTGATGTGCTATTCACAGAAGCACTAACATGCTTCCCCCCAGTGGCCTTGAAATCCCAGAACAGATTCAGTCAAAGCCACCATTTCTCTAATTGTTGCATGACTTGCGAGGAAGACACGATGGCATTCGCACGCCTTGTGATCTTTATCCACATGCCAGCTCTTTACGAGGCTGTATTGCCTCTGCGTCTACTGTGGAATAGCAGGCATTTTCACATTTTCTCTCAAGTACAATCATTAACAGTAGCCGCTTTGGCAAAAAACACGTTTTTTTTTTTTTTTTGCAAAGACACAACTTGGACATCCCTCTCATTTCTTTCTTTGTGGAAAATCCTTTTTGTGGTCACTGAATGTATTCAAATTCGTATTTTTAGTTTCATTCTACACAYGCATTTATGACTTCAAAAAATGTGACACTGCAAAGATTACGAGCAAACAAACTGCTGACATCTTGTAAATTATTCATTTTCTTGCAYATGACTGCTGGGTATTTGTATGTGTAAATATCAACGCATGCACATTCCTCAAGCTTTTAAAAGAAAGCCCAACTAAAATGACACGTGTGGCTTTCTAGATTAGTATCAAAATTGATTATTTGGATTTAGCAAATAAAAGCTTTGAGAGGTCTTTGCTTTTAAATAATTGAAAAAAATTCCTTCTACTTATTATATGCCAGTGCTGTTTACGTCACAATGCAATACTATAAGAAGAGACAGCTCAACAAAACGCCTCAATCTCTTAGCCCTGCAGTGAGATAAATATGAGTTTGGCCCGAGTTTGAACTCACATGCGAAGACACAAGGAGGACATTACTCAAAATGTACATCAGGATGGAAAAGATTAGAAATGGCAAGTGCATAGCAATGTCAATGATATCTGTGCAACACCAGATAATAGTGTTTAATATACTGCATAAAACCTTCCCTGTTAGACTTTTTAAGACAAAAACTATTGCAGCAAGCTGGCCATGCAAAAATATGTTCACATTGGTGAGTGCAAGAACTTAAGGAAATCTAATATGTATAAATGTAAAATGGTAATTTGCAATGTGATTGAAGTTCAGTTTTTATTGTTTTGATCATTGACTAGTATGGGTTCCTTTTCAGTCATTACACTCAGTAAAACACACAGTTGTATATGGGACACGCGCACCATCGCGCGCCTGGCTGAAGCCACCTCTTAATCACGTCTTTAGACCGGTGACGTGGTGAAGTTGAACGTCGGGTGACAGGCTCTGCCTTCACCCTATAAGTTCGGAGTCACCAGCGTCATTACTCAGTGTTATCGCCCTTCACCTCGCGATAGTCACCTCTAAACCTGAGGTCACATAGCTGCTGCTAGTTAGCTCAGCTTCAAAGGTTCTTAGGCTAGCTTCACTGGTGTTAACCGCGTTACCTGCTGGTTCGTGTGTCTGCCACTCGACACTACTTAAGTGACCTTTATTTTCTGCTGAAAATCTGTTTTGTGGTTCACGATGAGCACAAAACCACCTTCGAAGAAGCCGAAGTCTTCTGTTCGCCCCTGTCCTCGGGGGTACGGCTTTAAGCTTCATGAGAAGGACCAGCATGAGGCCTGCCCGGCCTGCCTAGGAATCATTCACGCTCGACGGGCGCTTGTGGAGCCTGAGTCCTGCCGGGCCTGTGCCGGACTTTCACGTCCGACACTGGAGAGGAGAGTGAAATTCCTGGAGAAAATGCTGGGGGAAACTGCTGTTTTCCGACAAGACCTGCAGCTCTCTGAATCCAGCCAGACGGCTCAGTCCGATGAAGACGAGGATTCGGCGGTCGAAGCCCCCGCTGCTAGCTGGGYGGACCAGATGGAGCACGAGGCGGCCTCACCCGACATCGAGGGGGGCGAGACCCAGTTTTTACTGGATCTAAACTGAGAGGGTGGACCAGGATTCGTCCTTCTTGTCCCTGTGCCGCCGAGCTGCTGCTAAACTGGAGGTACAGTGGCCCGACCACCCACCTGCTCAAAAGCCGTCGAGGTTCGCAGGGTTTTATCTCCCGTTTGAACCAGCTGATGTGAAGCACCGTCTGCCTATGTTTCCGGACTTTGTGTCGGAGCTGATGTCTTCCTGGAGCAAAACGCTGTCCATCCGCGCCTTTGTGCCCGGACAGGGTCAGTRCTTGGACGTGGAAGGGGCAGACCAAGCAGGCCTGGTGGGCATCCCTTCGATGGAGCCTTCTTTATCCGCTTATTTGGCTCCGTCTCACAACCAGGGTGTGAGCGGGCCCACCCTGCTCCCTTCCAAKCCCCGCAGATTCTCTTCGGCACAGCTGGAGAAAATCTACAAAGCCCAAGGTAACACCGCCCGTGCGCTGA